ACCACCACCCCCAATTGCACAAATTTTATGCACTCGGCTTCTAGTATATAATAAATATAATTCCATGCTTATTTAGGCAATTGTTTGTATGAGTCATAGTAGCTGTGAGGGAACAAAACAGCCCCTTAAGGGGTTTGGGATTTAAGGGCAAGGAATGGCTGTTATGGACAGGTTTACCAGAAGGCAGACTCTGAGGCTGGCTTTAGTGTTCAGAAAGCTGCTGTTGGGAATGCTCTTGGGATCAACATTGTGGGAGAGTGAAGGAGGTAGAACTAGACAGGGAGAGAGGCTGAATTGTATTGTAACCACAAGTAGGTGTCTGCCAACTTAACAGGTAGGTGGAGCTGGTTGGCCTTATAGAGTTGATTCGAATAGGACCAAGCAGCCCAGGCCTCCATATCCTTAAATCTGTCAACCATTGGATGCCTGGAGTCCCTAGTAAAGGGATGTGAGTTTGATCTTCTGTGGAGGGTAACTACATGGAGGAGAGTGGGGAGTAGAAGCTCACTGTTGGGAAGGAGCACATTTGTCTGGAAAGGAAATCCATGTGTCTAACCAGTGTCCACTAGAGGGGGTTGAGACAAGCTATTTAGAACTGAAAGTGTTGCAGAAAGTGAAATAGTGAAAGAGGGAAATGAATGAAGCAGAAGTAGGTAGTAATGTTGCCCTTTCGAAGATCAAAATATATGGATTGGAATCTAGGACTATATTTTTAGTCTGAAAGGAAGTTTGCACAAATGAGAGTTCATACACATGTCTCTCTCTGTGTGTGTGTGTGTGTGTGTGTGTGTGTGTGTGTATTTTTTAAAAAATATATATTTTTATTGATTTAAGAGAGGAAGGGAGAGGGAGATAGAAACATCAATGATAAGAGAGAATCATTGACTGGCTGCCTCCTAGGCATGTGACCTTGACCTGAATTGAACCTGCGACCCTTCAGTCCACAGGCCGACACTCTATCCACTAAGCCAAAGCAGCTAGGGCCACATGTCTGTATTTAACGTTGTGGTGTTAATCTCGGAATTTTGGTTTACCTGAATATGGTTTGATATATGTTGCAAGCACAATGTATTGTTATTTATGAAATAATTGCCATTTTATATAAAATCTATTGCTTTAGTGCAACTTTCTGCCTTCAGACCTGTGGCTACATATTTGCATTGTCAAGATAATTATCTGTCTCCCTGATGCGTGTTTTACTTATATATCAGAAGCTCCTAATGACAAATGCTTTTTACTCTCTAGTACCCTCTTGGAGGTTATAATGGTAATTATATATCCTCCTTGCTCATACATAATACATGAATACTGCAGAAGCAGGCTATTGAAGTATTTCACTTATCTCCTGCATCACCTTTTCAGTTGATGTGTAGTGAATAGGAACTTAATATGCAGATGTTTTCTTCCACATGTATGCACCAATTGCAAATCTAGGTTGTGTATACATAAAAGAGACTTTAAGGAAGCTAGTTAAATTTTGGAATAAACAGTGTCCTAGGTTGGATTCTAGTGCTTGCTCTTTGTGGGGAATATTGATCAAGAAGCTTTATTTCTTTGGCCCCTTTTATAATTTGTAAAATTCAGTGTTGGATTACTTGATTTATAGTGACATTACCCAGCTCTCATTTCATTGCCTGTTGAATGAGTAGATAGAAGTTTTCTATTAACAATATTCATGTTGCCACCAAAGAAAATGAATCTTTTCTTATTCACTGTCGCTCAACCTACACAGGCACTTCGTGGTGCCCAACTTCAGACTTTCAGTTGGTTTCATTAACCTAAATCCAGCCCAAAGCTGTAGTAAGATCAATTAGGTACTCTTATAAATTCAAATGTTATAAAATATAACAGTTGCATGGCTTCCTATCATTGATCAAAAATGCCTAACAACTTTCCATTGCCACCGAGGGCAAGAAAAATTCTAACTCCCTTTCAGACCTGTTTTCTCTGTTCCCTATCCTATGCCCCAAGTGAGAAGACAGTTCTCATGCTCCCATGAGGACAAGGGGAGGGACCCAGATGTACATGTGAATTGTTATGTGTCCTCAGGAGTCTCATGGGACTCTTGTCTAGCTGGGTGCCTGCTGTGGTGTCTACTGTGGTACAGCAGGATGCTCTGCTAATGCCGGGGTCTGTGTGTCCTCCCAGTTCTGGTTTCTGGAGCTCTGACTTCTGGCTACTGGGTCCTTGTGAGGCATACTGGACGGTCTTCAGGCACTAGCTGGATATTTCCTCCAGAGCATCCTGGAGCTGGGGACTCAGTGGAGTCTTGAGTGCCACCTTTACCTCCCAATCATTTGCAAGTTGACCCAAAGTTTGCCCCTCTGTCGGATTCTTTTGACTTCCTGGGTTATTTTATTTTATTTTATTTTATTTTATTTTATTTTATTTTATTTTATTTTATTTTATTTTATTTTATTTTATTTGAAAGTCTGGAGAGTTGGTCCAAGTGTGAGCAATCATCTGTTGCCTTCTTTAGACCCATGTAAAATTAGGAATTTCCACCACACCAACCTCAAATCTAAGAGAAATCGGTTTGATAATGTATCTTCTTCCAACCCATGATGCCAATCTGCCATTTCCGCCCTGGAACACATAGGGTCATAGGTGACCCTCTTGTCAGGTGCCATAAAAATTCCCCCAGGATCTGTTGGAGACAAAATCCTGCAGCTTTGGGGTTGGTTCCTCAACTTCTCTGGCTGTTTGTCACAGATTCACCCATTACATAAGTCTGAACATGAACGTCTCACCTTCTGTTCATTCTTTTCCCTCAGACCCCACCTGGGACCCTGAAAGTCTCACCTACTTCCCTGTGTGTCAGGCGGAGACTTCTCTGTGCATTCTGTCCTCCAGCTTCTCATAGTGGGGTTCACCTTTCCTCTTCCCTGGAGGCCTGGTGGCTACTGATAAGAAGTGTCCTTTGGATGATATTTGAAACATATCGTTCTCCTTACTAAAGCATGTAGTTAAATCTCCTCAACACGGAAGGTCAAGCTGCTGCATCTTGTATTACAGAGAAGGAAAATGCTACACAGACCCCTTTAATTTTGATGGCCATGTGTATCCCATTGGGGATGCTGCTCTGACCCACTTCCTGGTGACCCTGTGGGGCTGCTGGGCTTAAGCTTCTTCAGCAGGCCCTGCAGGGCAAGCCGCTCTGCCATTTGGACCTTTCGAACCAGGAGAATCAATGTGGCTTGAACTTTTTATAGCTGATTGGATTGTTCTATGGTTCCTGTAGTGAATCCCAGTAGGAACAGTATTGTGAGGCCTTGAGGACAGCATGTTTAAAATTGTGTGTGGTGACCCATTAGTGAGTTGTGAAATCCATTCACAAGGTCTTGAGCAACATTCAAAAAATATGGAAGAGAATAGAATAGAAAGGCAACTATCAGTGAACATAGCTTATAGTAAGGCAACATTTACTAAATGCATTCATTTTGTTAAAGGTCTTCGTGTGTTGTACTGGTTTACAAATTAAAATGCATTTCTTACCGAGTTCTGAGGTCACAATTTTTGAAAGCCATTTTCTTTAGGATATCTGAGGAACGTCCTGCCTATTTAGTCAAATAACTCTTTTTTGTTTTGTTTTGTTTTTAAGAAACCTCTCTTGGCTTGGTACTGGGAACTGGAAGGTAGAGGCCGGGTCCCTGATGGTAACACGAGAGGACCATGTTGCTCTTGAGGAACTGGGCGTTATCTGACCCACCGGTCCATAAATTAGGGCCCGCCCAGCACTACCATCAGCTGGAGGTGACATATTTTGGATGGGGCTCTAACTGATCCAGGGCACACACTGAGGAATGGGAGCAGGCTTTTCTCACTCCCTGCCGGGAGCCAGTCCATCCTTGCTGTTTCAAGGGACCTGGCATATGTGGCATACTGTTCTTAAAATGTTTGCTCACCTTCTTGGCACTATGTGTTTTAACCAAGGTCTCCTCTCTGAAAAAGGTTGTTTCCCCAGGTAGGGATTTTCCCCTGAAGTTAGGGAGGGAATAAAACCCCTCAACTAAGTGCCAGGCGGGTAATTAATCACTTTAACTATGAACAATCATGCTTAAGCTACATAATCTTTACTCCCTGGAATGGAGATAAGAAACGCCCTAACCTTTTTAATAGAGATTGATAGGATTGAATCAACTGGTATAAATACAAATGCAACAAGACAGCAAGACACAGAACTTAGAACACAGAACTTAGAACACAGAACTTAGAAGACAGAACCAGGAGGCACAGAACCTACACAGAACGTTCACTAGAGACAGAAGAACTTCGCTGGAGAGAACATGGCAAAAGATCCTGGACAGAAACTGGCATCAGAACCTAGAGACAGAACCTAGCGAGAGAACATGGCAAAAGATCCTGGACTGAACCTGACTACAGAAATTGGCAAGAGAACCTGACTAGAACTTGGTGACTGAACCTGGCTGGAGAACCTGGACAGAACCTGGCTGGAGAACCTAGCGAGGGAACATGGCTACAGAACCTGGCTGGAGAACCTGGAGGACCTAGCAAGAGAACATGGACACAGAACCTGGCTAGAGATCCTAAGCAGAACCTCTCTGGAGATCCAGACCAGAACTTGGCTGGAGATCCTGGCTGGAGATCCTGGCTAGGCTGCTGATCAACTGAACACTGTCTCCGTGTCATTCCTTCTTCGCCGACTCCGTCCACACCTTTGGGGACCCCTGGACCTGCTGGGGTTGGACCCCGGCAACTCCCAGTGCACATCCTTTGGCACAACTGCCGCCTGTCCCAGCACCCACATGGCGAGAGTTTCCTGGGGAGTTCCATTCACCTGTTGACTAAGAAAAAAAAAGGAAAGAGAAGAAGTCCTAGTTTACAGATGGTTCCTCCCAAATTCTAAACTGGCTGTGAGTAGATGTGCCACATTCAGCCATTTGGGGGAAATTTGAAAATACTTCATAAATTGGGAGCTCGATAGTGACTCAAATACACTTAATTTGTCAGAAATCGTATTTACTCTCCTTGTCCTCTAGACTCAACACTATGAATGGAAGTTGGAGGTATGCATGAGGCCTGAAGAAATATAGGAATATAATCATTATAGAAGTTCCAGAGGTGAGTACTCTGCTGTAGGTTTAAGAATGACTGAGGTTATTTGGGAATAGTTTTTCAGAAGACATGAGATTTGCCTTGCTGTTTAAAGGGCGAGAGGAATGCAGTGCAGTGTCAGGCAGGATGAAAAAAGCTGCTGCAAGCTTTGTGGGGGTCAGAGGGCAGGTAGATAAGAGGAAGACTGAGAAAGTGGCCCAGAGGACCCACAAGTTAGGCTGGTATTGACAGTGCATTTTTGTGTGTGTATTATTTTCATTAATTTTTTATTGTTGAAAGTATTACATATGTCCCCTTTTCCCCTATTGTCCTCTCGCAGCCTGCTCCCACTCCCCAGCCCAGGCCTTCACCGCCACCCCCTTTGTCTGTGTCCATTGGTTATGCTTATAAGCATACAAGTTTTTTGGTTGTTCTCTTACCCCCTCAAACTCCCCGCCCTTCCTCCCCTGCCTTCCCTCTGAAGTTTAAGTCTGTTCTATGATTCAATGTCTCTGACAGTGTTTTGTGGCTAGAAATATGATAGACATTGGCACAAAAGGATAAGGTAAGAAATATCAGCAGAGAAAAGTAAATGAAATAAAAAGTTTCTGCTTGATACAAAAAGGTTTTTATTTGATTCAAAAACATAAAAACATAAAAAATAAATATGTGCTTAGAGGATTTTAAATAGCAAACATTGATTAAAGGAAAAGAAAACAGATTATTAAGCTAACAGAATATTCTAGAATATTGGTAAATTATGCTACAATGATGTAGCAATTAGCAGGCTACATTTATTTAATGTATATATTAAGATAAATAATATTTGATGGCTTTTGATATTTAGTATAATAAGTATTACCATTTATAATTATTCCATATTCAAATAAGGATAACATCAAAATTAGATATTGATATATTTGCATAATATATTTTTATAATCTTTAAAACTGATTGTTCTTTAAGAACTAATGTACTCTAATGGCTCTATTTCTGTTTAGAGTTTCTAGTCATTTGTCAATTTGTCTCTGTTTTATTAGAATTGGCTATATCTTGACTCTAGGTTTTTTCCATCAACCAAATGTTCTTCGTGGACAAGTAAATTTGTCTTTTTGGAAAATGTAAACCTTACCCATAAAGCTTTTTTGTCTAGAAGTTATATAATTTATATTATACATTTGAGTAAAATGTATAAAAGTACATTTCTCTAGCTATTCCATAATTTTATTTTCACAGCATTAATTCCATCATTATCAAGCAAAAGCAAAAAGGTATAAAACAATTAGTATTGGAGGGGACTGTTAATGTCTATGCTATGTATATACTCGAATGTCATGCTTTTTCTTCTGCATCTTGTAATTTTAATAGATACAAAGCATTTTATAAACCTCCAATATGGAATGGATGTATTATGAAAGAATTACTTGTTTAATGATAGTACAAAATATTTTCATTAACATCACTCTGGTTTGCCAGATGCATGATGTGATTGATTTAAAAACATCAGAAAATCTCTCACCTAATTATGCAGATGTAGACAATGGACCATGAAAGCTCCAAAGAGATTTATTCTAGTTTATTGAATAAATAGGTATTTATTCCTAATGAAGTTATTCCAGGTTCTTGGGTGAACATTTATTTTAGACTTTCCCCTCCCCAAAGTTTTAAATGCATTTATAGGATTGTAATACAATTGTAATATTAAATGTAGTTTAGCATTACAACCAGAGATGTTAGATTATTCAGTGTTTGAGTACTGAGAAGAGAATTGAAAACCAGTACTTTTTCTAAGGATAATCCTTTAAATAACCTAGTGAGTAAAGAATTATTGTCAATTATTCCCTACATTTCCTCTTTCACCATCATCTTTTATGAAGAAAAGAAAATATATTTTAAAAGCAACAAATACCTGAAGGATTAATATAAATACATTTTATTCATGAAAAATTATTTAAACTATAACCATTCTCCTTCCAAATTTAATCCTCAAAGCAAGTGCAAAAACACAGAGAGAGGACAGATGTTTTTCTAAGCTGTTTGGTCATACAAATTGGATTTTATTGGACTCTTAAAAGAGTTCTTTTGTTGGATTTACATTCATGTTTAGGTAACTAGACCCCAAGTTCTCAGAGTTAGGGTCAAATAATATGTTTCTAATTTCACGAGTCGCTTAATGAAGATCGATCCCAAATCCTCTAACACTGTATGTTTCTATAAGAAACTCAGATAAGAGCATTATTCCACTTAAATAGGGAGCGGTCTTTTATGTCCATAAAGCTCCTTCTGAATGTAATCGGGCCTGTGTGAGGCTAGAAGATAAATGGGATATGGGGAAAAATGATAATCTTACCCTCTGCTTTTCCACTAAAAAACAAAATAAAATGCAGCATTTCTGTGTCTTGTGAAAATGATGTTGCTATGGAGACTGCCTTTATGAATCCAAATGAAATTGATGTTAGCAACACTCTTCTGATTTTGAGTTCCCATGAGTTAAGGTTGCCTCTCCTTCTCTTAAACCTTCTTATTCTTTGTTGAATATGCATAGGGCAGCAGAGCATGGCATGTAAATCTGTAGGATAGCCATTTTCCCCATAACAAAGTAGAAAACATGGAAATAAAGCATTGTCATTTTCCAAGAAAAGGATTCATTTGCACATTGTAAGGAGAATATGCATAAAAAATGGCTTTTCTTACTTGCTCTGCACATGGGTAAAGAAGAAAAAGCATGAGAAGTTGGAAAATTATCTTTCTGTGTTTTTTATGTGGTGAAACTGCATATATAATATTTAAACATGATCTTTGTTGATTTACAAGAACTAGAGCTTACATTTTCTCAATAGTATTTTATCTCCTAAAATTTATAACAATAACAGATGTCCTGTTATTTGCTTCCATAAACAAACACCATCTTCTCTTTCTAAATGTTACTGCAACCCAAATTGCATTTTTTAGGAAGGTGAGAGAAAAACTCACACCTGAACCTACCCAAACCAAATCAAAATGTTTCTTAATGTGGACACTAATGACCAAGTGGAGAAAGACCAGAATCTTTTCCCTCGATTAGGAGTTTTAGTAGAGTGTCTCATTTTAATTTATGAAGTGTTCATTTTTAAATCATGTTCTTTTAAAGCTGGAAATTTGATTAATACAAAAGTATCACTTGGGGCATTTTCTCCCTCTGAGTTCTCATAGCATCTTGTATGCTTCTTAGAATGTTGGCCCACTACGGTAACGACTTGCTCTCTTATCTACGCCTTTTCCAAACTGTGAGCTACAGGATTCTAGGCTTGTGTTCTCGTTGTCCTTCTTTCCCAGCACACTGCATAGTGCCTGGAAAATGGTGAGGGAGGGGACCCTCAGTGGTCATTGAACAAACACTAATCAGGTCTCTGCCAAATACTTGGTGAATTCTTTCCATCTCTTCTTTGAAATGTCTCTTTAAAACGTTTGATCCTGGTGTTCAGTTGAATGTATACATCATATGCTCAGTTTCCTTTTTGATTCCTGGAAAAAATTTACATGCCAAGTGAGACCACATATAATTTTCTCTAAGATTTCGGGGATTGGATAGGTATTAGGAGAACAAGTAATTTAAGTCTTACCTCAATAACCAATTCAAAAGTAGTAAAATATATCAAAACAAACAAGTACAAAACTGTTGGGAGAACAGATAATGTCCTTTATACTTGTAATATGGCAGAGTACGTGCTGTGGGGGATACATATGAAGAGACAGCTAAGTACTATATATCTTCAAGTAAATTAAAATGACTTTAGCCAGAGGGAAAGGGGGATGAGGGAGGCAGAAGTGGACAGAGGGGGGATGAATGGGGATGTAAAGAGACTTGACTTTGGTGGTTGACCACACGATGCTGTATGCAGATGTTTTGATTTGTACACTTGAAACCTGTATGGTTTTGTTAACCAATGTCATCTCAATAAATTCAATTAAAATGACTTTAGAACATTTTTAAAAAAATTTATTTTTATTGATTTCATAGAGGAAGGGAGAGGAAAAGAGAGATAGAAACATCAATGATGAGAGAGAATCATTGATTGGCTGCCTCCTGCACAACCCACACTGGGGATCAAGCCTGGAACCCGGGCATGTGCCCTGTCTGGGAATCAAATCATGACCTTGTTCATAGGTTGATGCTCAGCCACTGGCCAGGCAACTTTAGAACATTTTTATGAAAAAGTGGGGGAAATGTGAACTGTTTTAGAGTGAAACTTCATTAACTATATGGTTGTTGATTTCATAAAATTACTCTCCCTCAGGATTTGTAGGAGGTCTTTACTTGTAGTTTTTCCTTCATCTATTTTCACGGTTGGGCATCTTCTTATCACAGGCTTTCCCCAGAATTCTGTCCAAAACAATTAATTTTCCTTCTAACTGAATTACCTTTGTAAGTACTGCATCAATTTTTCTGCGTGTTTTTTTCCTGCACATATGCTGATATCCTCAACATCTGCCAAGGCTCCTAAAACTTAGCTCATCTCCTCTGCCCAAATACCTTTCTCTCTTTAAGCTATCTACAGATGAGGTACAATGACAAAGAAGATGAGATCAAACTAATAAAGAAGAGGTCATGGTACATTGTTTTAATGATAAATATGTTGAAAACTATTGTGAAAACTATAATACTACAAAGATTATTAATGGCAGCAGTCATAGAGATAATTTTCTGAAATTTCCTGTTTATATTCAGAAAACTATCTGTGCTATGGAGATTATTCAGATCTAGTTCTGCACATTTAAAAGAGAGGTACAAATAATAACTAGGAACAATGAAATGATAACATTTTCCCCAATAAAGCAGGTGTCTGGGGTCAATATGTATTCTATCTAATGGCCTAAATTTTTTTTAAAAAAATATTTTATTGATTCTTTACAGAGAGGAAAGGAGAGGGATAGAGAGTTAGAAACATCGATGAGAGAAACATCGATCAGCTGCCTCCTGCATACCCCCTACTGGGGATGTGCCCTTAACCAAGGTACATGCCCTTGATCAGAATAGAACCTGGGTCCTTTCAGTCCGCAGGCCGATGCTCTATCCACTGAGCCAAACCGGTTAGGGCAGATGGCTTAAATTTCTACATCTATAGAACATCACAAAAGTTAGTCTATATATCAGTAATGTTTATATCATAGTTCATATAATGGCCTACAAAGTCAGAGAAATACACAATCACCATTAAAAGCTGTCAAAGAAATATTAAGTATATGAAGGGTAATATCCCTATCATTTGGATCATTGCTTATTTAGTATAATTCATTCCCTTAGAGAACTGGATATTTGGGGTTTCATTAACACATTCAATAAATATTTTGTCATTTGAGGACAAGCATTTGTATATGGTGTTGGAGTATTATGGAATATCTAGAAAGAAAATTTCATGTTAATTTATTTTATTGCTGACAATATTGGCTAACAGTCAGGAGGCATATTACCACTAAATTGAATATGTCATTTATGAACAAAAGACAATTGGGAATTGATTTCCACCTTGCATAGGGGGAAGAAATCTACTCTTTTTCTCAGCTGTCTATTATCTCTGAGACATTTTATGCAATGATAATAAAAATCAATAGGACACACACTGAGCTTGGAATACTCAGCAATAATTTTTCCAATCAGAGTTCTGCCGAATGAAATGAAAGAAGCTCATGACATCTGGTACCCTGTACTCGTTCCTGGCTTCTGTCGATGCTGTGGCCTGCAGATGGGAGCTGGCTGCTGTGTTTTGGCTTTCTTCGAACTTATAATGGGAATTATAAGTTCCCATTTTTTCTTATTATAAAAGCTAATAATATTTAAGAAATATATTAAAAATAAAAAAGAAGAATATAAAAAGTCTACTATTCCTGAAATAAGGTAACATAGACTTTCCACATTATTACATACGTGATTTTTATATACATCATTTATGCACACATTGTTTTTAATGAGAATAGACTATACTGTAATCTGCTCTTTTGTTGTTAATTTACTCACTCAAGCCCTTACCTAATTGTTACTCTGCTTTCAGGACTGTTGCCATCAACGACTACATGACGCTCAGGCCACTACATTCTTATGCCTGTCCCTTTTGTACAGGCAGATTCTAATGCTTGATGGAGTCACAAAGTATCACTGTGGGAAAATGACCAGTGACTTCAAGATTTCAGGACCTCCAGGAACTGTAAGGAGAACTGGATAAATTGCATTTGGTGGGTTACTTGGCAGTTGATTTGCACAAAAGATGCCATGGGATATGGTGAAATAATGTGTTCTACTTGGGGCAGGCATGCTCAGAATAAAAACACACTAAGCTCTAATCTCAGTAAGGCGTCATAGGAAACAGGACAGAAGTTCAATGGAGTACCTCTCTTGGCCTTTTAATATATAGTCAGTAAAGCATGTTAAAGAATGGCTTCACATGGAGAAAAGCTGCTTTTTTAATACAGCTTTAGAGGCCTTTATAAGATAGCTAGAGGCCTGATGCACAGGATTGGTGCCCTGGTGGGGGCTTGGCCTGCGGGGATGGGCCGCTGTGGGAGCACTGCTCATCCTGGTCGACCGAGTAGCTGTGGACCTGCCCTCTGAGTGGCTGCTCCCACTGTGGGAGCACCACTCATCCCAGTCAGCCCAGCGGCACTCTGACCATCAGGGGGCAGCTCCTGCATTGAGCATCTGCCCGCTGGTGGTCAGTGCATGTCATAGCGGCTGGCTGACCAGTTGTTCTGGTCATTCTGCTGTTTGGTTGCTGGGCTTTTATTATATAGGATATGGGAAGGTTGTATTTAACTACAACAAAGTAGATTCTTATAACATTTTTTCTTATTATAAAAGCTAATGATATTTAAGAAATATATTAAAAAATAAAAAAGAAGAATATAAAAAGTCTACCATTCCTGAAATAAGGTAAGATAGATTTTCCACATTATTACATACGTGATTTTTATATACATCATTTATGCACACATTGTTTTTAATGAGAATAGACTATACTGTAATCTTCTCTTTTGTTGTTAATTTAGCAATGGATTAGTATTAATGTTAATGAAAACATTCAATAATCATCATTTGAATGTTTGCTGAGAATTAATTAGTTTTACTAATAGATCCTGATTATATAATCATTCCTTTGGTGATAATCATTGAAGTTTTTTTTTTTTTTCTACCCACCACCCACCTTCTCTCATTTTCTTAATTATTTTGGAGTTAAGTCATGCTAAAATGAAAATCATAACAGCTATGTGTGATCCCTACATGGTTATCCTCTTACATAAAATAACTAGAAAAATGAGTGGTGAATCTAAGGGTATGTACCATGGTGTAGAGATCAGCAGGACTCAATAGGGCTCCAGCATATAACATCTATTCTTTTTACTACTATCCCTTTAAACTTCTGCTGTGAACAAGTTATTTTGTTCTACAACTGGATGAAATCTTAAGCATGTCTCCTAGTCTTGCACAACCCCCTTAATTAATAAACAGATCCTTTTTTGACTTTAAAAAAAGTTTATATTTTAAAACCTGGAAGAATGTTATGGTCTAATGTGATCAGGTGTTCCTCCTGGAAGTAATTGCCATTCTTGATAAAATTCTCCAATTCTCTAATAGAAATTAATAAATTTATGAGCCCCTCCTAAAATTCTAATAGTGCTCAACCTCAGAAAGAACCTAATGTCATTTAACCAATCTCACAAAGAGCCTATAATATTTAACCAGCCATTGCATTATATTTCATCCAATTTAGTGACTACTGGACAGCTACTTTCCTCCCTAGAATGTCCCTCCCTGAGGAATTATCTGAATTATCATGACATAAGCTCCTTTCTTTGTGACAAATTTCAAGAAAAACTCCAACATGTGTTTATAATCAATTTCTCTGAGACGATATTTTAATAAACATGAGAAAGTTTTATCTGTGAGACTGAGTGGGGTTTATTCCAAGTAGGTAAATACAGATTAAAAAAATATCAGGCCTGGCTGGCATGGTTCAGTGGTTGAACGTTGACCTAGGAACCAGGAGGTCAGGATTTGATTCCTGGTCAGGGCACATGCCTGGGTTGTGGGCTTCATTCCAAGTAGGGGCCATGCAGGAAGCAGCAGATCAATGATTCTCTCTCATCATTGATGTTTCTATCTCTTTCTTTCTTTGCGCTGAAATCAATAAATTATATTTTAAAATCAGCATAATCTGCTGTTATTGAATAAAAAATAAAGGTCATGTGATCATGTTGTTAGATACAGAAAAAGCATTTAGTTAAATTCAACACTCATTTATGAAATGATTAAAATAAACAACAAAACAAACAAAAACTCCTTGCAAATTAGAAATAGAAAGGAATTTTCTTAATCTGACAAACAATATTTTAAAAGAAACCTATAGGAAAAATCATATATCATGGTAAAATATTGAAAATATTCTCTTAAGATTATAAACAAGATGATGGCGCTTTTTAAAAATTCAGTATTTTAATTTGGTCCCCAGCCAATAAGATAAAAAATAAATAAAAGTACAAGGATAGTTAAGAGGGAAATAAAAATTTTATTATTTGTAGAACAAGATGATTATGTTCAAGAAAAAAAGTTACTTCATTTAAAAACTCTTAAGTTAAATAATGATTTAAATAGTGTCACTATATTGATGATTATAAGTTTGTTTATATACAAGCAGGAAGTGGAATAGGAGAAAAAGCTTACAAGAAAAATATCTATGTATATAAAAGGCAAGTGACCAGAATGCCAGAATGATTGGAACAATTGATCGCTATGACGTGCACTGCGGTTGGCCAACCGGCCGATCAGGGGGTGATCCCCTTCCCCCCACCTCCCAGCCGGCCTGGCCGGATCAGGGGCGGGGCTGTCCAGCCAACCTTCCACATCCCCTCCACCTCCCCACTGCCTGGCCCAATTGGGCCCCCATGGGGGCGGGATGGCTGGACCCCACCCATGCACGAATTTGTGCACCGGGCCTCTAGTGTAATAATAAATCTAAATAGTAATGTGCAAAATATCTTAAAAATAGCAATTCACTAATAAAAGGTGAGTGTTTCTAATAAATAGATTAAGCTCTTTGGATATTCACATGAAAAAAATGATCTTGATCCTAACTCACAATACAGTATTTAAAGGGAAATGAAACTAATGAGAAAAGAAGTAGAAGTAAAAAATAAAGTACACCTAAAGCAAAGAATAAGAAATCACTCATTGAACAGGTTTAAAAGCAGAAGACATTGTAGAAGCTCATTAATAAACTTGAAAGTAATTGAAAGTATAGCAACTGGGACACAAAAAGGAGAAAAAACCCTGAAATTATTGATCAGACCTGGTGTTATAGGATGAATTGTGTCTGCCCTTCCCAAATTCATAAGTTGAAATACTAACCTCTGGTATCTTTGACATGACTTTAGTTGAAACGGGGATTATTGTAGATGTAATTAGTTAAGGTGAGTTCATATTGAATTCAGAATAGGCCTACAATACAATATGACTGATGCTCTTATGCAAAGGAGAAATTTAGACACATACACACAGGAAGAATGCTATGTGAAAATGGAGGCAGGAATTGATGTGATTCTTCTATAAGTCAAGAAGTGCTGGATGCTAGCAGACCACCTGAACACCAGAGAGAGAAATCTTCTTCACAGCCCTCAGGAGGAACCGATTCTGCAGACTCTTGACCTTAGACTTCTAGCCTCGAGAGCTTATTGTGAAACAATAAATTTCTATTGTTTACTCAGCACAACACCCTCTAGGTCCACCCATGCTGTTGCAGATGGCAAGATCTTAATCTTCTTTATGGTTGAGTCATATTCCATTATAGGTCAGACAGAGAAAAGCAAATGCCATAGAATTTCACTTATATGTGGGATCTAAAGAAAACAAAGGAACAAGCAGAGTAGAAACAGACTCATAGATAGAGAGAGCATCTGATGGTTGCCAGATGGGAGGGGGTTAGGAGGAGGGGTGGAAAAGGTGAAGGGATTAAGAAGTACAAATTGGTAGTTACAGACTAGTTCTCGGGATGTAAAGTATAGCATAGGGAATATAGTCAATAATATTTTAGTAAGTATGTATGGTGTCAGACTGATACTAGATTTATCCGTGTGATCACTTTGTAAGTTATATAAATGTCTAATCACTGGGTTGTACACCGGAAACTAATATAATATTGTATGCCAACTGTAATTGAAAAAAAATATTTAAATAAAAATTTATTGTTTAAGCCATCCAGTTTATAATACGTTGTTAGGGCAGCCACAGAAAATTACTATATATGCAACCCCTTCTTAAAAAATCAAAAATAAAACTATAATTTTTAAAAGTGGTCAGAAACAAAAGATTCATTCACAGATCATGCTAACATTATTTATGCAACAAAGCTAGACAAAAATATATGTTACAGGAGGTATTGCCAAAAAGTCTGAAGTTGATGCAAATGACAAGAACTTTATTTTTTAAAATATATATCATATACGACTGTCAGCTGATTTTTCAACAGAAATTTTGCAGACCAGAAGGGAGTGGCAAGAAATATTCGAAGTGATGAATAGCAAAGACCTACAACCAAGATTACTCTACCCAGCAAATCTATCATTTAGAATTGAAGGTCAGATAAAGAGCTTCACAGACAAGAAAAAGCTAAAAGATATCATTACCACCAAAACAGTATTACATGAAATGTTGAAGGGCATTCTTTAAGAAAAGGAAGGAGAAAAAAAATAGATAAAAAATATGAACACTAAAATGGCAATAAATACATATCTATTAAAAATTGAACCTAAAAATCAAAATAAACGAACAAGGAATCTAATGAACAAAATAAACTGATGAATAAATCTGAGGGACGAAGGGGGCAGGAAGAGATTAACTAAAGAACATATGCATATGTGCATTACCTATGGACACAATAGGGTGGTGAAGGCCTGGGGTGGAACTGGAATCAGGTGGAGGGAGGCAAGTGGGGGGGCGGGTAATAGAAGGCATCTGCAATACTTTCAACAATAAGATTTTTTTAAAAATATATTTTATTGATTTTTTTACAGAGAGGAAGGGAGAGGAATAGAGAGTTAGAAACATCGATGAGAGAGGAACATCGATCAGCTGCCTCCTACACACTCCCCACTGGGGATGTGCCCACAACCCAGGTACATGCCCTTGACTGGAATCGAACCTGGGACCCTTGAGTCC